AAAAGTCTTGAGGTATGTAACTGGGATTGCTTGAGATTTCATTCCTTCCACAAATCCAAGTCTTGGTGTTAAAAGAAAGTGATCTTGTGATATTTGAAACTATTGCTAACCTCACCTCAGTTATGAAGCTATGTATTTGCAGATATTAGATAGGGGTGTGCAAAAAATTCAGATATCCGATCCAATTTGAAAATTAGATATTCAAAAAATCAGATATCCAAAAATCTAGGTCGGGATTCGGATTGCAATATTTGAAAATCTGGATTTTTAAAATGCATACAGATCGGCTAGGCTAAAAACTGGATATCTAAATTCAATCCGAAAATTTTATTTTACCCATGATGTCTTATACGTGTCTTGACACCATTTTTATATGAAAAAATACTAAAATTTTACTTACCTTACACCGTTTTCACTTATGACTTATCTAGTCCTCTAATTTACCCATTTGTTTAACACTACAATCTCATTCTCAAGTCTTGACACCATTTTCACTTACCTCTTCAGCTCTCTCACTCCTTCATTTACAGTTAGCCAGCAACAGTGAGTTTGGCCTCCGACAATTTTCACAGTTTCTCTTCCACACAATCTCTGCCTCTCAATCTTGTTTCGATATGTGATAATGTATGGAAATCCATCACATTTTTTAATATTGTAGTTTAATTTGCAATTTATTTTGATTATATATGGAAATCTTACTTTTGATTGTTAATAACAGCCTTTGATTGAATTTTTTTTGGGAAGAATTAGGGTTTTACAATGTGTGTTCATTTCTAGGTTAAATGGTTAATGAATTCAGATCAAAACTGGATATCCGTTTGATCTGATTCGAAAATTTGGATTGGATCAAAACCAGATCAGATTTGAATTGATTTTTTATCCCGATCCAAAAATTCAGATTGGATCAAAAAATAAGCAAACTGGATTGGATATCCAGTTTTGAACACCTCCTAATACGTTGATGCAGGTGCGCAAATGGGGGCTCGAACCCAAGACTTCTAGCAAAGCTTGAAAATCTATGATGCGTCTCACACCATTAGGCTACCCATTTAAACAATGAAGACAAAATTTATGTAATTGAAAAAGTTTAATCAAGATCATGTAAGCATTGATTAGGAACCTAGCCCGACCCGACCGATTTAACTAGTTAGACCGGGACCTTGGGCCTTCACCAGTTTAACCAGCAAAGGCAGAAAATTGGCCCCTCGAAATTACAAACACCCCCTACTCCTTCCACTGATCACCTCCTCTCACATTCCGACACTTTCTCCCTCATTCCAGTGGATTCTAGTGCCTAAAATCACCCCTGAACCCTCTATTGGCCTCACCAACATCTCCCCACCAAAAACCCCAACACCTCGGGCCTTGATTGCTCGCCGATCACTGTTGACCACCCTTAGGGTTTTGTGATTTTAATTTTTTCAGTCGTTCTCGACACCGAAAATCACATTTGACCCCTCAGTTTGCCTCACTAGCATCTTCCCACCAAAAACCCCAACACCCTAGACCTTGATTACTTGTCGATTGCTGTCAAGCACCTTTAGGTTTTCGCGATTTTAATTTTTCCAATCATTCCCAATGTAAAAAATCACCCCCAACCCCTCTATTTGCCTCACCAACATCTCCCCACTAAAATCCCCAACACTTGGACCTTGATTGCTTGTCGATCGCAGTCGACCACCCTTAGGGTTTTGCGATTTTAGCTTTTTCAATCGTTCCTTGCATTGAAAATCACCCCACCTCTCCATTTGCCTCATCATCATCTCCCCNTTCGAATTGATTTTTTATCCCGATCCAAAAATTCAGATTGGATCAAAAAATAAGCAAACTGGATAGGATATCCAGTTTTGAACACCTCCTAATACATTGATGCAGGTGCACAAATGGGGACCCGAACCCAAGACATCTAGCAGAGCCTGAAAATCTATGATGCGTCTCACACCATTAGGCTACCAATTTAAACAATGAAGACAAAATTTATGCAATTGAAAAAGTTGAATCAAGATCATGTAAGCATTGATTAGGAACCTGGCCCGCCTCGACCAATTTAACTAGTTAGACTGGGACTTGGGGCCTTCACCAGTTTAACCAGCAAAGGCAGAAAACTGGCCCTTCGAAATTACAAACACCCCCTACTCCTTCCACTCACCCCCTCTCACATTCTGGCACTTTCTCCCTCATTCCGGCGGATTCCAATGCCTAAAATCACCCCCAAACCCTCTATTGGCCTCACCAACATCTCCTTTCCAAAAACCCTAACACCTCGGGCCTTGATTGCTTGCTGATCGCCATTGACCACCCTTAGGGTTTTGTGATTTTAATTTTTTTTAGTCGTTCTCGACAGCGAAAATCACCTCTGACCCCTCAGTTTGCCTCACTGGCATCTCCCCACCAAAAACCCCAACACCCTAGACCTTGATTACTCGTCGATTGCTGTCGGGCACCTTTAGGTTTTCGCGATTTTAATTTTTCCAATCATTCCCAATGTAAAAAGTCACCCACAACCCCTCCATTTGCCTCACCAACATCTCCCCACTAAAAACCCCAACACTTGGACCTTGATTGCTTGTCGATCGCATTCGACCACCCTTAGGGTTTTGCGATTTTAGCTTTTTCAATCGTTCCTTGCATTGAAAATCACCCCACCTCTCCATTTGCCTCATCATCATCTCCCCCACCAAAGCCCTTATCATCCCAAAGTCCAATTGACCGCCAATCATCACCTGTTAGTATGGGTGTTTTTGCTAGATTTCACACCTAAAAGGACTGTTGTGCATTTATCAGGGTTGTGTTTGCTAAATTTTAAACCTATGGGATGGACGGTTAAACCGTCAGTTAGATGGATCAAATTGTGACCCAGTCCCTTAGCCAGGTTGTCACACAGGTCGGGGTCCTAATCATTGCATGTAAGTACAGAGATAGAACATACACTTTGCAATTGTAAATTAAATTTTCTTTACTTTTTTTCTTTTTTCTTTTGTACTTCTTTAAAATTGATAAGTAGTTTGATGCATTCAAATTTCTTAATAATTATTCTTACAATCTTTGAAGTAAAAACACATGTGAATGAATTTGAACACATGTTTTTTCTTTTACTATTGTAAGAATAATAATTAAAAAATTGGGCCGAAAGACATGCACCCACCCATACTTTGTTATAAAGACAATGTGATACCCAAAAAGTATGGAAATGACAAACAACCACTCTCCGTTAGAATCTGTTAGTGAATTCCGTTTGAAGAAGGAGAGAGTGGTAATTTTGGGCCACTTTCCTCTTTTTTCTTCTTCCTTTTTCTTTTCTTCACATTTTTCTCTTTACTGCTATGGCACCTCCAAAGAAAGCAGCAAAATTTTCCTCCGTCTTTTATCTCTTCTTTTTTCTTTCTTCTTCTCTTCCTCTTCAATTTTTTCTTCTCTTTTGAAGATCTGGCCAGCCACTTCTCCTTTTTCTTCTTTTGTGGATCTGGCCAGTCATTCAGCCATTTCTTTTCGCCTTTGAATATGAAAAACTACAACTGAGTTGCCTAGGTATTTACTCTTAATTTTTAAATTAATCTCTCTTTCACATCAGATTGTCAGAATACATCTCAAGATTAAAACTCTTTCTAGAGAATTCAAAAGGTTGCAAAAGCTTTGTATGCATTATTCACAACAAATCCAAAAAGCTCTTCACTCCCAAACATGAGCAAGAAACCATTAAGCAAATCGTGTAGTGAAGAGAGATATAAAAAGATGCAGTCTGTAGTTTTGAATACATGATTGAAATGATGGTGTAGACATGTATAGGCATTTAAGTGTAGTAAGAAATACAAAGAGTTAAGTGAACAAAGTTTTGAAGAAAGTTTTGATTTTGTGATTCACAGACGGTGGAGAGAGGGTTCTGATATTGTAGTCTAACTAACTTATAATAAGTTATCAGATGGTGGTGATAGTGGAGGAAGACTTCTTGGTGGATTGGCCATCGGTGGTGGTGGAGGAGAGGAATTCGTTGGTGGAGTAAATACTGGTGGTGGTGGAGGTGAACTCCTTGGTGTATTAGGAGGTGACACAACTGTGAGAAAAATTCGAAGAAAAGAACAAGAAAGAAGAGGAGAGGAATGTGGCCTTCTTTTTCGGTTGAATGCAAAATTACCATATTATCCTTCTTCAAACGAAATTCACTAACAAATTCTGACAGAAAGAGGTTGTTTGTCATTTCCAAACTTTTTAGGTACCAAGTGGTCTTTACGGAAAACTATGGGGGGTGCATGTCGTTCAGCCTTAAAAAATTTAAACGCAGCAAACTAACTTTTAAGTTTTGGAGAAATGTAGAAGAAAAAGGATAAAAAAGAAATAATAAAGCAACTTATAATTGCAATACATAAAATCCATTTTTATTGTACTTACTTGATGTTGATCAAATTCTTTCAATTATATAAATTCTGTTTTGGTTATTTGAAAACAGAATTAAAGTGAATAATTAAAAGAGGATATGTATTTGAAAGTTTAATGATAATTAGGGTCTAAAGAGATAAAATCTGGGCTAATAACATTACTCTTTTTATAATTCATTTACTTGATTATATTTTTAATATAAGCTCATTTTTTATTTTTATTTAAAGGTATTTGACCAACTTAGTGATTATTTTTCCTATTACATGATGAATAATTTAGCAACTTTGCATTGTGAAATAAAGTCATAGACAAGATAAATTCATACAAAACTCTAATCTAGTGGTTGTAAAAATATTAAAAAATGAATTCAATGAATAAATAATATGTTCAATATTTATAAAATGATTCATGATTTATCTTTTTATTTTTTACTTTATCTATATATGAAAATAATATTCAATTTTTGACATCAAAGAAACTTTTTCAAAATAAAATAAATTATAAATTTAGAAAAAAAAAAAGGTATCGTAATATTAAATAAAAACATTTGTATAATTAACAAATAAATAAAAGGGTTTAAGGCTTAAAGCCATTTCTATGTACTAATTACATAAACCCTTTAAACTGGGACTCATCCCTCTCCTTCTCCCCGCCCAGATAATTTGTGAAAATGGGAACTCCAATCGAAATAGAAGAAGAGATTGAAGGAGACCACATCGAAACCACCGATTTCTTCTTCGACAAAATCGGAGATTCAATTCCAATCAAACCCCCAGAGCATGTAAATCCCAAATTCGATCTTCAAAACCCTCCCTCTCTGCCTCTGGCCGTCTCCGAGCGTTCTCATCTCATCTTCGTCGCCCATTCCTCCGGTCACTACTTCTTCCTTTGCCTCCAACGTTTATTTTATCAATTCATCAGTTTATTGACTGTGTTGTCTATTTTTCTTTTTTAATTTTGGTTAGGGTTTTGTGTGGCGAAGACGAAAGACGTGATTGATGCGGCCAAGGAGATTAAGGAGAGTGGGAAGAAAGGTGTTTGTATACAGGAGTTGAGTGTTGTGGATGTTTCGTTTGAGAAGGTTCACATTCTTGCTTTGTCTACCAATGAGTCCACGCTTTCTGTTTCTCTTTCGCATTCCCCGGATATTCATTTCTTTTCTGTCCAGTCGCTTCTTGATAAGGTATGCTATCGTTTTCTACTTTTATGGGACTATATTGTACTGGAACTATGTAAAATTTATAGCTAGAATTGTGCCCAGTTTGAATTAATTACCAGTTGTTGCACCCTAATTGAAAGTAAGTGTTGGGAAGCTTTGGGAGTATGAATAACTGGATTCTAGGTGCAAAAGAATTAAAATTCTCAGCTGTCGCGTAAGAATGATACTACTCTTACAAGTTTTGTGTCCCAAGTTTTGTATTTGAGGTGATGTTGGACTACTGCATGGAGATTTGAATATCATGGTAAATGAAATGTATAATGTTACTTAACTTTAAATTTTTGAAAATCATAAGAGTAGTATTGCTATTTCAGTAACTTATCCCCGCATAAAAAATTTCCCTTTTGTTTGATATTCAGAATTCTGGTTTTTGGAGAAGAAGCTAATGTTGCCAAAATCTTTTCCAACTGCCTTGAAGCATGGAATTATATATGTTTTTTTGAAATATCCTTAAACCATCTCACTATTTGATTTATTTATTTTGCGGCTGTGCTCTCATTCTTTAGGAAGTGAAACCATCTTTCTTCTGTTCTCTTGATGGATCAAACTATGTAAAGGACATACATTGGGCTAAGAAAGCAGAAAATTCTTTTCTTGTTCTTTCAAATCTTGGGAAGCTATATAGTGGAGTTTTTGATGGTCGTCTTCAGCATGTGATGGACAATGTTGATGCTGGTATGTCTTAAATGCTTGTCTTCTTCTATATTTGGAAATATAGCTATCATTTGTTTGTTTGTTGAACTCTGGTTGATATGATGCTCATCTCCTTATGTGTTTTATAGACATCTACTATTTGTGACTTTTTTCCTAGGGAGGTAGTACTAGTTGTTATTGACTCTTACTGAATTTGTAACGGGTGCCCATAGGAAATCCCTTATCATGTAATTAGATGCTCTGGCATCTTATACCAATTTTGTGTTTAACTCTTGTTTGTTTTGGCTTTTTCCTTGCCATAGTTGAATGGAGTGTAAAAGGGAAATTTGTTGCTGTGGCAAAGGAGAGTATTCTTAGCATTCTCTCATCTAAGTTCAAGGAAAGATTGTGCATATCGCTATCATTCAAGTCGTGGGTTGATGAGGCTGATGTTCAGTGCAGTGTGAAAGGTAAAACTAATTTTCGATGTGTTCTAATTTGTATTATGTGTCTGGTTTTCAGAAAAATGACTCCCATATTCGTTCTTTTCAATCCTTCTATGGCACAAAGATGTTTTCATATAAACTATATGGGTTGATTATCCTTGTGTTTGTGGATACATATTTTTTTTTGTTGCTGATTTATTGGTTCTGATTTTTTATTTCATTAAACCCATCAAAGCACACAATTGAGTCTTATTTTTAATTTTTCATCATATGTAAGGTCTGTTTATTGGTGTTTTTCTAGGTAGCAAAGCAATATGAAATGTGTGGGGAAATATGTTGATAGATCATATGAAATTGAATTGTCAGCTTACTCCGTCTTTTCAAATGCAAAAGGAAAGGCCAACTGCATCTTGTTGTTGCTTGAATAGATGTCTGTCTTGTTGGAATAAGGCTGTTAGTTCTTTTTCTATCTAATTTTTTCTGCATTATCAACTTCTGAAACTAAAATATTTATTGGATGGTTGCATCAGTGGATTTTATCAGGTGGGTTCGTCATGATTGTATCATCCTAGGCTGTTTTCAGTTAACTGAAGATGGGAAGGAAGAAAATTACCTTGTCCAAGTTATCAGAAGCAAAGATGGCAAGATTACTGATGTTAGTAACTAATCCCTATACACCGATGGTTGGAAACCTGTTGTTGAGAATTGCATTTGAGCTGCTAATTGCTTGTTGTAGCCTAGCAATGAGAGGGCAAAGGTCCCATTTTGGTAGCCAAGTTTATAAATTTTGAATGTGGAACTGCACTTATTATGCTTTTAATTTACAGCTTAAGAGTTTTAACAAATATTGAGTTGGAGTAATTGTTAGGACACAATACTTAAGAGGATTTAGTCTGGCCGCATAATTAACCTTTTATAATTACTTGTACTACATTCAACAGATGGGAAAACTTATTGAGCAATGCATGTGCAAATACCAATTATTGGGGTAGGGGCAGTCTACATCTCTTTGTTAGTTGAATTGATCGCTCCATAGGCTGCAGTGTTTGTCAGTAATGGAAACAGCCACAATATCTGCAACATCAATAACTATGATAATAATTTTCTTATCGATAAATTGTCGTATCACATGTTGATTTTTGAAGAAATATTTCTTGCAGGCTGCTTCCAAGCCGGTTGTCCTGTCCTTCTGCGATTTATTTGCTGGTCTCGTTGATGACATCGTGCCCTTTGGAAATGGACCTTATTTATTCTTGAGCTACTTACAACAATGGTACATTGATGTTAATTTCACATCCTTGAATTTTTCTTTGCTTATTTTTAAGTTCTTTTAATGTCTGTCATTTGTGATTTTGCTTAATTCTTTTGTGTTCCATATCTTCTGTAGTTCTTCTTTTTAATATTTAGTTTGATCATTGAAGCATGCCAGCATTTTTAGCAGTTAAAAATTTGTGGACTATATTTACTAATTCATATTATTTAGGTGTAAAGTCTAACCTGTATTGTTTTTGTGAAGAAAACTCAGTTATTTCCTTGAGGGGAAATAATTTAAGAGAATTTGGACCTGATGATTAACCCAACTTTACATCGGGAACACAATTATTCAATAGGGGTCAAGAATGCAGTTTCAGATAGTGAAATAAAACATCTTATCAAAAGATAGTGAAATGAAACTTCTTACCAAAACTTAGTGAAAAAAATTGAGTCTGTTGCATTCAAACATTGGGAAAGATACCTTTTTAATGAGAATACTTCTTACTGTAAAGAAACTCTTTCTTTTTCATTAAAATTTATTTTATTTGGATGAAATTTAGTAGAGGACATGTCCTCCAAGGTTAAAGTATACAAGGAAAAGTTGGTTTTAGCCTAACTCACCAAAAGTCAGATGGATGCACTGCACTTATTTCATTTTAATTAAACATTTTGTTCCTTTTATTCACTTGTTTTTGGGTTGGTTTTTGATAGAGCTTGTTGAAAGTAGAGAGTGTTTTAACTTGTAGTTTTTTTTTTTTTTTTTGCCATGAAAGTCATAAATCATACTTTTTCAGACAATGTTTCATTTGAAGGACTCTTGTTACTTATTTTCTGGTATACAGATGGTTGAGCATTAAAATTTGTCAACTCTCCCAACGCCTCACAAATATTGTCAATTTTTTGTTGATAACCTCCCCTACATGGAAAGCCTTGAATAAAATATAAATAGGCTAGTGCTGTCAGTAATTGGGCCATATCTGTAAAAAAAGTAAATGAAATTTACCTTTATTTGTATTTCTTGACCTTGACAGTAATGTTTTAAAATTGGTAGTTTTTCTTAAGTAACTCAGAAAGGTCAGAATTTATTATTTGCTGAGAATTCTATGTCTTTTATGTTTTATATTTGATTTTTGATTTTTGATTAATTTGATTCATCTTGAATTACTGGCAGTGATAAGTCTTGGGTTTAGGGTTTCTGAATGTGCCAATTTGGATTTGAATTCATTGGTATCATCGAAGTTAAATTTTGTTTCTGTTTGTAATTCCAGTGAGCTTGCAATTACTGCTAATAAAAAGAATACAGATCAGCATATTGTGTTGCTTGGTTGGTCACTGGGTGATGAAGAGACTGATGTTGCAGTTGTTGATATTAACCGAGATAAGTGGCTCCCAAGGATTGAGCTTCAAGGTGCTTAAATTTGTATTGTGGAGTTGATACAAATGCCAAAATGATTTGTTTTGTTAGATTATAACATTCTTTGTGCATAAAGGACTATGAATAATTACTCTGCAAAAGTTTATTCTGTGAATATGTCTAGTTGAAGACGAATCTAAGATGGCGTATCTTTTAACATATCTCTATGAGCTTGAAAATTTCTTAGTATGTTTACCCAAAGGTTAAAATGATCCAAGTATGAAACATAGTCATTACATGGTACTAATATAAATGATATTTACTAATATTGATCTTCATGATATTTACTTCCTCATGTGTACCACTTTAATGGCTTTTGGCAGACATCTATTCATATATTAGTTGACCAGCTAAGTTTATTTCTAACCTAATTCAGAATATGGATAGCATGTAAAGCATTTATGCTCACTTTTTTGCTCTTTGATTCCTCCTGTTTAAATTTATTTGTTAATATTTTTTTTTTTCCTGGATTTGAGTTAGTTTATGCTTAAGTGTGGATGTTCTTGTTCTAATGTGGTGCGCTCTTGGTTAAATGGCCTTTGCTACAGATAATGATGATGATAATTTGATCATGGGACTTTGCATTGATAAAGCTTCTCTCTATGGAAAAGTCAAAGTCCAACTTGGAGTTGAAGAAGAGAAAGAACTTTTACCATATTGTGTTCTAATGTGTCTAACTCTAGAGGGAAAGCTTAATATGTTCCATGTTGCTAGGTATTTACACTGTTGTTCTGATCTTTAATTTTGAAGGATAATATGTCTTCTACTGCCCTAGCACACAGCTCATTTGTTTTTTAAGGGGCTAAGCAGCCTTGCTTTATTGTTAGCTTGCCTATGCTATATTTCTTTTTATTTGAGATTGACTTGAGTTTAGCTGTAGTCTTTCAGGAACAACAGCATCACCTGGTGCTGTTTCCACCCTTTCTGATGAGGAAGAGGGTACATCTGATGTGGTAACTGGAGAATGCGAATTGCCTAAACTTTCTTCTGGATCAGGGGAACAAAATAAAGCAGTGGCTATTAGTTCACAGTTGCAGGACTGTTACTTAAAGGAGCTTAACATGGCTGGTGGCAGAGAAATTTCTGCGAAAAACAGCCTTGGGCAATTTGGCAATTATGAAAGTTATATATCTTCACCTGCCAATCAAATATCCCATAAAGATACCACATCTGGAAACCGGGATTTGGAAGGTACTGTTGGTCAACAAGTACAGCTCTCTGTGCAGCAAAGCACAAATTTGGGGCAATCATCTTCTGAGGTTTCTCATCAAGAGGAACCTCGTTATGCAGTTCAGAATTCCAACAAGACAGAAACTCAAAACATTGCAGGGTTTGGGTCAGAATTTTCTGCTTTTGCAGGAAAAGTTCCAACTGATGTCCCTAGTATATCAAATCAGAAGGATGTACCAAAAAGCTTTGAGCTTGGTAAGGAGTTGCTTGGAAAGACTGGATCAGCTGGCTTACAGAGTGCAACATCTCAATCATGGTCAAGTGGGAAAAACATATTTGTAAATGAATCTGATGTCAAATCACCAGTTATACCTTCAAGTCACATTCAAGGTAAAATTTCTGAAAATTTTGGCACTAGTGTAGGTGCTGCAAATGTTTCTGGTGGCTTTGCTGGAAAACCTTTCCCTTGGAAGGATGCCAGGGGGACATCATCTTCAGTCAATTTTTCTACTAGACCAGTCCAGGGTGATGGTCTGAGAACTTCAACCGAGATGGGGAAAATTGAGTTGTTACCATCCATACGTAGTTTGCAATCTTCAACACAAACAAATTTTGCATCTGGAAAGTCTCACAACAATAAGCTTTATCCTTCCAGAGATGACTACAAAGCTACTGTTTCAGGAATGCCAAATTCAGAACCAAACTTATCGAAACAGTCTGGCAATGTAATGAAAATTTTATGGTCTCTCTTCATCTTTTTGCACATTTCCCTGTATCTGGGTGATGAGCAACTTCATATTTGATCTTTCTCCTTGTGTACATAGTTATCATACGATATTCTATTCTATTAATATGAATATGGAAAGTTTTTACTTGTACCTTGACAACTTTGTGAAAGTTCAAAGCTGGTATAGGTTGACATCTCCAGAAATTTCTTAGGTCGATATCTGTGCAACAGTGACTGAGATTTAAAATAATCTATACCATGCTTAAATTTTCACAAGCATCATATACTAGCACATACTTGCTAATTATATTTCTAAAGCTTGAAAAAGGGGAACCAGGCTTTAACTCTATTTGTTCCTTGTGATTATTTTTGCTTGCCTATTTGAGGATCAAAGGCTACTATTCTCATCTTCCTTTGTCCATTTACATTACATGCCCATGCATTCTGTTGATGCATCTTGTTCAGTGTCATTTGTGTTTGTCTCTGCATTTGTTTGTTTGTGTTTGTGTAATTATCTTTCTCTTTGTTGTTCATTTGGTTGAGGGACTTTTAATTTTGACAACTGATTTTTGCTCTTTTCCATCCTTTTTCTTTCCTTCCATTGAACAGCTTAAAGAGATGACCAAGGAGTTGGATGCACTTCTGCAGTCAATAGAAGAGAGAGGTGGCTTTAGGGATGCCTGCACTATTTCTCAGATGAGTAAAGTTCAAGAATTGGAGCAGGGCATCGGGACTCTTTCTGAAAAATGCCGAATGTGGAGGGTGACTTTCTCACCAATGGCTCATATCTTATTTCATATTATTTTTACAGACTTAGATATATCTTCATATATGCCAGAATTTGGGGGAGTAAAGACGATAACTTGCTAAATTTTTGTCTCAGTTCTAGTAAAACATAAGCATCACTGAACTCAATCATAAGTTCAACTTGGAGGTAGCTTTTTCCAAAAAGTTCTTCTCCAACTTGATTACTTAGGAGGTTTTGAATACAAATAAACTAGAAAAGTAACAATCTACTTGTGCTGAATTATTAATTATGATTCATGTAATTAATTAGGTTCATCCTAAGTTTGCCTCTAAATAGACTGTAATTGTTTTATCTTGAAGCAGAGATAAGGAGAGATAAAATAAATTAAATCCAAAGTATTTCTTATCTCTCTTCATTCCTCACTTCACCCTTAATACACAATAGCACAAGTGCCAATCTATTCCTTATTAAATCATATAACCATCTCACATGTCCACCGAAAAAGATCCTTGGGCAAATCGACATATCTCCACCCACAATTATTTTCTTGTCTTTTAAAATTTTATAACTAATTACTGTCAAACCAGTTACTTTAACATGCATTTATTGGGTCTCAAATGCAAAGTTGTTTTTCTCAAAGTTGTTTTTCTTTTCTTTTTATGCATGTAAGGTGAAAAGGGGCATTGCCATTCCCATTTAATTACATGTTACGAGATTGCTAAACATGAGAAACACAAAGACAAACTAGACCAACATAGATAAGGGGAGTGGCCCCTAGTTCATTTATATCATTGTGCACTATTCCTTGTATTTATGATGAGTTACTAATTTAAATGTATCCTAAACATCTTCAAGTGCTAGCCATTTGGTTTGGAGTTCATGCTTTTCATCAAGGTATTTTTTACAGTGTTTTGCCCAGCTCTTATCTTGATTGCTTGTCAAATTTGTAGAGCATAATGGATGAACAGCTTGAAGAGATCCAGAATCTTCTTGATAAAACTGTTCAAGGTACTCTGTAATCTGTGCTTAAACATTGACATGCAGCAACTTTTTGCAGAGGAATAGATACGTAATTAAATGGATTTTATGAATATCTAAAGGAGCTGTAAATTATGTTAAGAAAGATGTCAAAAAGAAACAGAAATTGAAGTTAACATATCAAATGTTTTACCAAATGGTTGTAAAACTGGCTTTCAGTTTTGGCAAGGAAAATATACATGGAAGGCGTTGTTAAGCAAGCTTCTGATTGCCGATATTGGGACCTCTGGAATCGCCAGAAGTTGAGTCCTGAACTTGAGCTGAAGCGGCGGCAGATATTACAATTAAATCAGGTATATCATTATGTTATTTCACAAGTGGCAGATGTGTCCAACACAGGATTGAATTGTGTTAACCTTTTCCCCCTTACAGGATTTGACCAATCAATTAATTGAGTTGGAGCAGCATTTCAATACCCTTGAACTCAATAAATTTGGTGAAAATGATGGCCTTCATGTAGGTCGGAGAGCTCCTCAGAGTAAAGTTGGGCTTTCAAGGTATGACTATAATTGATAAATCTATGTGCCACTTTGGTATAAATGCTTCCAACTGGTTATACTGAAATATTAATGTCAGGCTCTAACTCAATAGTTTAAGCTTTTGAGTCAAATGGTAACATAGTATCAAAGCACAAGGTTTGAGTTTGAGTTTGAGTTTGAGTTCGCCATGTGTAAATGTATTTACATTTGTATTTCTATTAATCTGTATTTATGGTTGGTGTGATCCATCATCTGTCTATTTATATGGTCCAAGTCACATGTGAGGCAGCTTATTAGAATTAAATATTAATTTTGGGCTCTTACTTGATAGCTTAAGCTTTTGATTCTAGTAGTTTTTTTACATCAGCCAACCCAAAAAGAAAGTGCTTAGTTTTTCTGACATTGTTTGATATAATATTATGATTCTTGTGAACTTGTATGAAGTAGATGGAAGAGGTGATTCATATGAGCTTTTTAAAATCTGCCAATCATGATGTTTTTATTTTTGTGAATCTCTGCAGATGCATTCAATCTCTGCATAGCTTGCATACCACAATGAGTTCACAATTAGCAGCTGCAGAGCTACTCTCTGAACGCCTTTCCAAACAAATGGGTGTTCTGACTATAGAGTCTCCTATGAAACAACAAAATGTAAAAAAGGAGTTATTTGAAACAATTGGAATTCCTTATGATGCCTCTTTCAGCTCTCCTGATGCAAAAGTTACTGATCCCTCTTCCATGAAGAAACTTCTACTTTCTTCTGGTTCTGCTGCTACCAAAGATCATTCCAGGAGGCGCCAATCAAGTGCTATGAAAAGTTATGATCCAGAAACTGCAAGGAGGAGGAGAGACTCACTGGACAGGGTAATTTTCTTGGACTACATTTTTTTTTTTGTTTACCTTGTACATTGAAAACCTTTTCGGTATATCTAATTTCATAGCTGTCTATCGCTCTGTCCACCAGTACAGCTCATAAGTACAAGTGGTAATGGCTCCGTTTGGTTCAAAATTTGGGGGTTTTGGGAAAAGTTTTTTGAAAAAAGTTAAAAAAAATTTGAATTGGGCGGGTATTACGATGTAGGATTTATAAATTAATAAAATACCCTATATATTTATTTTTTTACAAAATACCCCCTATAATAAAACATTAAAAGTTAACAAAAATACCCCTAACCCACCCTCAAACACCCCCAGTCTGCCACCACCACTGGAGGTGGCCGAAGTCACCTTATGGGCGCATGACCGGCTGGATCTTGCCGGTCATGCGCTGATATGGCCTTTTCCGGCCAGATCCACGGTGGATCTGGCCGGCAAAGGCCAGATCTACGGCCAGATCTGGCCGTCAACCGCTAGATCTGGCCGTATTTGCTCTCAACAACAGCCAACAAACGGTCGTCGTTGATGGTCAACGATGACCGTTTGTTGGCCGTCGTGACCGACTGTTACGGCCAAAGATCTGGCCGTCAACGGCCAGATCTTTGGCCTTAGATCTGGCCTTTTCCGGCCAGATCCACCGTGGATCTGGCCGGAAAAGGCCATATCAGCGCATGACCGGCAATTTTCCGGCTAGATTCAGCCGGTAGTGCGCCATCCTACCAGATTCCAGCTATTTTCCGGTGGTGGTGGCCGGAATCTGGTAAATGTGGATTATTGGGGTGTTTTTGTAATTTAAAAAAAAAAATTAGGGGTATTTAATTAAATTATCAAATTTAAGAGGTTTAAAAAAAGTTGAATAATATTGGAAGTAGTATTCTCAAAAATCTGAGTTTTTTGAGTATTTTACTATTTAACTTTTTTGGGAATACTAAAAGTAGTATTCCCAAAACTGAAACAAACGCAGCCAATATATCTTTTAAGTTCATCCTGCCAGGGCTTTTCCTACTAGATAGTGTGGTTATACCGCTTATTGCATCCAATTTCCTATTCTTCAAATACCAATAACACCGTAATCCTCCCCACCCATCCAACATCTTCTGTTAAATGTGTTTGGCTGTGACTAGAGATGGCAATGGGCTGGGCCGGGCCGAGTACCCCTTGGCCTGGGCCCAAGCCCAATCCCATGACAAAGGTCTAGTCCTGGCCCGGGTATGACAGGTAAAGCCCAAGCCTGGCCCGATGGACTTTTTGTAATCTCAGTCCCGGCCCAAGCCCGCCCATTTTTATAATGTGAATTTTAAATATTAATAAATTTCAATTTTTTTTATATTTTGAATACTCACCAAATATTAATAAATTTCAATTTTTTTATATATATGTAGGGTAATTCTGTAATTAGATATATACTATAAGGGTAATTTAGTAAAATTGTCGGGCCGGGCTAGAACTGAAGACATACTCATGCCCGGATCGTACCCCAAGGTGGGCCTTAAAATCAGTCCCAGGCTCAAGCCCAAGCCCGCTAACAACAGGTAAAGCCTGGCCTTTTCTGGCCGGGCCAGGCCGGGTCGGGCCAAGTACCTGGAAATACCGGGCCCATTGCCATCTCTAGCTGTGAGTGAAGGAGAGTGTCTTCACTGAGACAAGGAATTGCATACCACCCATCTTTGGCCTGTTTAACAAATCTTCATTTAATGTACATTTGTTTGCATGATCTTGTTGCAGAGTTGGGCTAGCTTTGAGCCACCTAAAACAACTGTGAAAAGAATGCTTTTGCAAGAACATCAGAAGGCGAGTCCAAATAAATTATCCTTGAGTGATAAGAAATATGTTAGCCCTCACATGTCAAATGGAGCGGCAATTGTTCGTCCAAAGGATCGAGCAACGCCTTCATCATCCTTGTACCTATCTGGAAACGAAGGTAAGAGTCATTCTCAGTTTCTGACCATATTTGTATGTGCATACCTGTTATGTTACCAGAAATAGTAATTGGGTGTTTTCTCTGTGTATATTTATCTTTGGCAGGCATTCAGGAAACTTCACTAAAACAGGCTTCTGAAAACCAGTCAACCTTGTTCAGATGGGCCAATGATCCAGTAGGACCATCTCAATCTACCGGGCCGAAGTTTCCTGTGTACCAAAGTAACACTGCTGCAATATCATCACATTCAGCTCTGCAATTGCCACTTATGGGAGGGCAAAATCATGCTAGATATGATATCACTGCAGATAAATCAAGCCATGTTGATAAGTCTAATTCGGTTTTGATTGGTGAGACCAGGCCAATTTTGCAATCTGAGACTAGCGTAAATCAAAAGCCATCTACCCATACAGTGTTGCCCTCATTTGCTCCATCGTTATCAAAGAAAACCAGTGAAACACCAAATTCAAATGGTAAAGGGAGTTTGTCAGCAAATTCAACAATTGAAAGTGAGAAACCTCTGCTGACAACTACAAAAATTGTGACTATTGAATCGGGTAAAAATCGTGATGCTCAATTATCAATATCAGCAGCTATCCCAACGGCTTCTGCCCTTCCTGGAAAAGTTGCACAGTTTGATGTTGCAACCAAAAGCAAACCTGGTGAAAAAGTATCAACCTCTCCTGCATTCTCAATGCCACCTGCTTTATTATCTCCAATGTTTAATTTTTCAAATGCTTCCCCATCCACATTATCCACATTGTCTTCAACTTCCTCATCATCTGCAATGTCATTTGGTGAGTCTTTGACTACTTCTAAAGCTTCCATAGATGTTAAGCCAATAGTTTCTTCAATATCCATGTCCTTACCTTCTACCTTACCAATTGCTTCCCCATCCTCAGTATCAGCTTCTTCCTTTACAACTTTTTCCTCTTCTAGTTTCTTCTCTGTTCAGGCTCTCAAAACACCAGTGTCCTTATCTAATACCCCTGCTGTGAGCTTGACGTCAGAGTCTCCTAAAACAGAACCTCAACTCTCTACGGATAAACTTATTTCAAAAACAGAAGGCAATGCTACTATACAAACAAAGCCAGTGCAGCCAGGTTCTCCAGTGGCTGGATTTGGTTCAAAGCTTGAAACTTCTGTGTCATCTTCCTCTGCAGTTGAAGCTCCAACTTCAGTGTCATCTACCTCTGCAGTTGAAACTCCAACTTCAGTGTCATCTGCCTCTGCTGTTCATACTCCAACTTCATTGGCACCTGGAAGCAAGCCTAGTTTTACAAATACGGCAGGTAATGTATTTAGTGTGTTATCAAATGCTCAACGAGAAGAGTTATCTACTGCAAACACTCTGTTTTCATCACCGATCCCAACTTCTGCAACTACCACTGGTGGCAAGAATGAAAGTTTGGACATTGCAGTTTCACAGGAGGATGAGATGGAGGAGGAAGCTCCTGAGACCAGCCAGACAACTGAGCTTAGCTTGGGAAGCCTTGGTGGTTTCGGAATTGGCTCAACTCCCAATCCATCTGCACCTAAACCAAATCCGTTTGGTGGTCTTTTTGGCAATGCTGCAACAAGTCCAGTAAGTTCACCTTTCACCGTGTCAGTTCCTAGTGGACAGCTGTTCCGGCCTGCATCTTTTAGCTTTGAATCTCCACAGTCTTCCCAACCATCTCAGCCAACGGCTTTCAGTTCTTTTTCCGGAGGATTTGGTACTACAGCAACTCCTCAAGCTTCCGCCCAAACTGGATTTGGCCAACCAGCCCAGATTGGGTCTGGCCAGCAAGCATTGGGGTCAGTTCTTGGTTCGTTTGGACAGTCGAGACAAATTGGTGCTGGTCTACCAGGAGCAGGTTTTGCTTCTGCAAGTGGAGGTGGATTTGCTGCTGTTGCTTCTGGTAGTGGTGGATTTGCTAATTTGGCCTCAGGTGGTGGGGGATTTGTTGGTGTGGCACCAGGTGGTGGCGGATTTTCTGGTGTCGCTTCTGGAGGAGGCTTTGCAGCTGCTGCCCCAGCTGGTGGAGGCTTTGCAGCTGCTGCCTCAGGTGGTGGTGGATTTGCTGCAGCAGGTAGCAGTTTTTATATTGATCTTCCCTTGTTTTGGGTTTAAGTCCTTATGAAGGTGACTGGTTTTGCTGATCATGGTCATATTTAAACATTTGCAGGTGGTGGTGGATTTGGAGCTTTCGGAAGCCAACAAGGATCAGCTTTTGGTGGGGGTGCTGGAGGAACTGGAAAGCCTCCCGAACTCTTCTCACAGATGAGAAAATAGATTTGGCTGTGTTTTTTGAGCAGCAGATCCTCTTTTTAATGTATTGGCATAACCATAGAGTTAAGTTCCATTGATAAGGTTCGTAGAAGAAACAGATGTCAGTTCCAGAATGTGAATGTAAAGTATTATTAATATGAGCAGTTTCATTCATGTTTTAGCTTCAACTTTTTACTATTCAAGAGGTGCTGCATTTTATCCTGGGTAAATTTAATATCCCAACAAAATCCAGCATCAGCATTTCCTCTTATTTCAATCTTCAAATGCTTGTACAAAACCAGAATAACCAAACAATTTCTAATGCGATTGATAATAAAAAAATTCAAGTACTTAGTAAAATTTCTATACGGAATCAAACAGGAACTCCTAACTCAGAGATCTTCATTATCCGTTTATCGAGCGCAACCCTCTGCCGCTGCAGGAGTGAAGCCATAGAAGCAACCTAATTAAAACATAAGAGAGATAAGAAGAATCAAGAGCCAAAGCCTTGTTTTCAGTAATTTATGGATGTATCTATGTAAGAATGAAGAGGATGTTGAAGTTACCTCAGCTCTAAGTTTCAATGCCTCCCTACCGGGGATTTCTCTCAGGCCTTCCATCAAATCTACGCCAAACATACAATAGAAGTGGCAACATTCTTACATTGTTATTAGAACATTCATCTCAACACCTTTTTGGTAAAAAATAGGTGTCTAATGAGCCAAACCAATCCAAATATTTGGTTTATTAAGCTCAGTTCAATATTGAGGGAAAAAAAAAATAATTAAATCAACTAGCGCTACACGTTTGGATTTCAACTTCAGGTAATGTTCAAGGGGATGAGAAAAAAAGGCAACAGAAGTTTTGTGTGAATAGCCATAGTTCATGTCCTTTCGAAAAGAGAATTCTATCATCAAGACAATTTTACGGGAGTCCAAAAATATCAAATCAAGACTCCAACAGTCCTCCCACCAAAACATCATAATAAAGGAAAAGAAAGTGCAATCAAGAATGTGTACCTGCAGCTTGGGTTTCAACTTTGTAAGCTTGTTTAGTGAGACGCTGAACTTGACTTCCAGCATTCCTACAAAAATATAACTTGGAGCAATGAGGGACAGATCTGTAAAGAAAGTTTTGCAACAGAAAATGTAGTGAAGATCACTTTACAAGAGCTCCGTTTCTCCACGCTTCATATCCTTTTCAGCAAGACTTGCCCTTTCCAGCAGTTTTTTGCTCTCCTTCTTCATTAAATCAACAGAGAGGTTCAACTCTTTGACATTCTTCTCAGCCCTGACAAACTTTGCCTGCATAACCAATTGTGGAGGTGAATAAAGGATGAAGTACTGGAATTACACGAAGCCTAGGGCCTGAGGCTTAAGCTTAAATGTACTAAACACGTTTTTCTTACTTTTTTATTTTAACTATTTTCAAACCTACTAATTCAACCAAACCCCAAACCCACCTTGGTGTGACCAGAATTCAATCCCAAGAAATCCAACCAACTGAACTAGCTAGTACCCATTCTAAATTATTAACAGATTGTGCAGACAGATAAATAATCAACTTTCCACTCATAATATCAATGGGGAGAAAAGAGCTCCTATAGAATAAAGAAGATAGATACCTCCTCGCTTTGAAGTCGACCCAATGTATGACGAAACAAAAATCTTCTCGGACCTGCAGAGAAAACCTTAAGGAATCAATTCAAATAAGATTGAGAATGTAAAATATACACGAAGATATACCAAAGGCAGTCAAGGGGTGTGAAATGCAAGAAAAAGCATACAAAGATACCACATACATGCATAAACAGGGAGGCAATTGAAAGGTTGGAGCCTAAGAACTAACACATCCCTCCATTAACATTAATGAAAGGAAAAGTAAACGTAATCATCTGTAGTCTTCAACATTATAAAGCATAAACATATGTGTACTGGAGTCAAGTCACCAAATGAAAATGAAATCAAGTATAATAAAACTGCAGTAGGCAGTAATGCCTGGAGCTCATACTTTTACATGGATACAAGGAACGGAATAGGTGTTCATCATGAACACTAAAACCAAATTGGCGAAATCAATCAGTAAGTATGTAAATGAACCAAGAATTGCCAATTGCTTTCTTGAAAACAAGCCAGAGTTAAAATTAGCACGTCGATACCTCGCAAGAGAAGGCCACCAGCAGAAAGAGCAATGCCAACAGCTGGACCAGGGTGTTCCCGTGCACCCTTCAACTCCTCTGTAAAAACAATACCAAAGAGTCAGCTGGTCAAAATATCATCAATTTTAATCAAACATATTATTAACCAACCAAGAAAAACATTCCCAATTTAGCAATGTTCTTGATAAACCCTATAGCTGGCAAGCTAAAACCAGCAGTTAAAAACTAAACCCACATAGATTTCAACCGAGTATAAATAAAATCACAAAATAAACAGACGAAAGTTAAGTAAAGAAGTGACCTTTAATTTTGTTGAGAAAAGCTTGTTCGTAAGCTGTATACTTGGTGATGGCATGGGGAAAAGAATCCTACAAAAACAAAGCAAAGAATAATTAAGGAAAAGTCGTTAAATTTCAATTGGAAAATAAAAAGGGAAGAACGATAAATCGAAAACCTGCAAGGAACGAAGATGGGTGGAAGAGTTTTGTTGAAGAGAACGAGCAGAACGAAAAGCAGAGTCTTTAGATTGAATGACAGTACGTTGCAGATCCTCCACCCATTCTTTCGCATCTTTTGCTTTTGGTGGCGTTGCTGATTCCCCCTCTGAACCCATGTCCTCGCTCCCTTTCTTCTTCTTCTTCGATTTCACTTCGCTCTTCTTATTTTGCCCAATACAAAAACAGTACCACTTCGTAATGTTTCTTCATCTATTTTTATAGGTTATTTTAAGTACCACTGTATATCAATCGTCTCTAGTAAGCCTATTGGATAGTAGAGGTTGGACTTGGACCCTATTAAGCCACTGTATATCGATCATGCTAATGATTTTCTTCCATTTGAACTCATTTCCATAATTCTTTTAGTTGCGCGGCTCCTCAGTAAATAATCTTTATAATTAGCAACCGTAACCCAAATTCAACTTTTGTCTGTGTTATCACATCCATTCCTCTTCCATTCTATTTGAATATTGTTCATGTATAAAATAGAATTATTTATTTGTTTATTACCAATGTCTTTGTTTCATACTTGTTATATTATAATCAATCGAATAACTTAGAATTATTGTTCATATTGAAGTGAACCGAAATTGGTACAAAGTTGGTCGAAGATCAGGGGCGTAGCTAGTATATAAAATATAAGTTCAATTGAACTCACTCAAACTTTTTTATTTAAAAAAAAATAAATAACTTTATATTTTATAATATTAACAATTTTGACCCCACAAAATTTGTATTAATTTACAATTTTTTACATTTTCTTTATTCTTAATTTTCTCTCCTCTTCTCTCATACTTTTTCGGTTCTTCCTTTGGTTGGATTACTAAAAAAAAAGCTACTCTTTTGGAGGTTACAAGGTTAGATGATACTTTTTTTTTTTTTTTTTTTTGCTTATCAATCTTTCCTTTTAACTTTCTTAATTGATGAAAGATTATGAGCTATGCATTTTTGTTGAGTTTAATGAATTGATTAATTTGAAATTGGAAGATTAAATTCCTAGGTTTTGATTAAATTTTGTTTATGTTGAGGTATGGTTAATGAGTTGTTTTAAGTTTAGGTTTGATAAATTTTGGTTAGTTATTGAGTTAATTATGAATGGATTTAAAGAATTAATAAAACCCTAAATTGAAGAGATTTGGTTTAATTTTGATATATTGGTTAATTATTTGATATTTAGAGTTAGATTTGTTGAGTTTTCATGGGTTTATAAGTTGAATTTTATTAGGTTAGTAGAAATTGTTGGAAAAATCTAAGTTATAAGATTTGGGGCTTTGATGAAGATTGTGAAAAATCGACTACCGAATCGAATGAGAGATCAATTGTTAAATAATTGTCTTATTACATATATTAAGAGAGAGATATTTAATGAAATCATTAATGAAACAATTATACAATATTTCTAGAATATGAAAAATCGTTGATGACGATTATAGAGTTGATAATTTGGTATGTATAACTTTTAAAATTATATTTTTTATGCTTATTGCTTCAGCATATATTTTATTGTAAATTTATCAAATTAAAATGTTTTGACCCCACTCACTAAAAATCCTAGCTACGTCCCAATCAATGATGCTTGAGCATATATTTGTTTTGAGTGCCTATTTATTTTCTATTGTAGGGTTTTAATCAAATAAAGTGCGGAATAATAAACAAAAAATTTATTCGAAACCCATCTGATCCCAAATCATAGATTGATGTTACTAACTCATTCAAAACAAATATACAAAAAATATTAAAGAATCGTTATAATCAAACCTTTGATTGGAGGCTCCACCGATTTTGATTGAAGGAAAAATGCTTGCACTTCAAGAGAAGTGAACTAACAGTGATCCACACAAAAACAACAAAACTCACACAATCAATTTGCTAGTTTGAGAGTGAAGATTCAAAGAAGAAAAAGGGGAGAAAATTTTCTAAGAAATTTTCTCTCTACAACTTTTAGCTTGGGAGGGAATAATGAGTTAGTTGAGAAATAAGGTTAAGGCCCATTTTATAGGCAAACTCTAACACTAATATTCCTTTGGCATATATGTCAAAGAATATTCCCATTAATATCCACCAATATTCATTGTTTGTAAATAAATAATTAGAATTTACTTAGAAAATGTCGTTTTAATATTTTATTATTATTCTTTAATCATACGATAATAATTCACTATTTAAAATGTGTGTACACTAATAAATTAATTTAAATAATGATTATTTATTCTTTATATATATAATGATTATTAATTTAAATAATGATTATTAAAATCGAACATTGGCAACAACCTTCCAGGCGACAACCTTTAGTAAATTTAATTGCATCGTAAGAATCACCAAAATACCCTTCACCATGAAATGACGAAAATGCCCTTACTCCAAATCTTCTTTGATCTGTCTTTTCAGTGTGTAACCCATAGGCTCCTTATCGTATCGACAATGGGTAATATCGCAATTGACACTCAATCAATTGTCTCATTACACACGGACCCATATTGGCCTCTAGCCAAGCATCAGGGCCACCCGATAGATTCGGATTCAATGTATCAGCTACATGTCAACGATATGGTTACTGTGTAATTAAATCTTTTCATCATCCATTATCTCATCAAGGTTTAAAGTACAGAAAAAATGTCAACTTCAAATATATTACCTTGATATGTTTTTATTCAATAATTCAAACTAACGACTCAATTCCACTGTGACCATAATTTTGCGGTTGTTGTCATTTATCAAATTATTCAGTGAGATAAATTCTCCCATAATCAAGAGTGATGAATCATGTGTCAATCCACCATAGTCATAGTGTACTTCTAATGCAGTCAATCACTTTCGTAGTGATAACCCTAAATAAGACTACGTTAAGCCAGTGTCAAACTACATTGATATTTACAAACGGAGCTCTAGTGATCTTAAGTTTAAGGATCACATGCACACCATTTGTTAGAGGATATATTCCATATGAAATCCTCTAATTGATCATGTCCAGTGAACTTGTCAACTACAAACACCCATGCATCGCACCAAGTTGTCACCAAACAACTTTCACATGCAAGATATGTTACTATCTTTTGATAGGGTCGTTCAACGCTATGAAAGCCTTACCGTATTGTTTATACCCTTACTTCAAGATAATATTGGGGCTACGAGTGATTTCTAGCATGACCATTTAATGTGATCATATGGTTCTTACAATCAAGATTTAAAGCATTTGAGACCCTTGTTATAATTCTATCATTCTAAGGACATATATTACAACATATCATAAATACAATATAGTTAGACATAATATAGTCAAATTGTCTTTTATTGATATCAACATGTTTTTACAAGTAGTCAATACTATAATTTTTTTGGCTTTAGGGCACCTACCCTAACATCTATAAGTATCTATGGATTGATATAATAGATGTGGACCCTATTAAGCATTGTCTATATATCTTGTGGGTAGCCCAAATGGTTAGGACAAATTGGGGATAGTGTGAATAGGTGCACAATCTCATGTTTGATTCCCCATCTAAGTATCCGCGACTTAATTGAGGGGTTATGGCAATGGGTTGTTGCACTAGTCTATTAGAGTCATGAAAATGACTCTATTTAGGTGATAAAAAATGCTTCATTTGTGATTAAATTGAAATTATATTGAGACAATTAAATAATTTATTCATGAAAAATCACATTCTAAATTTTTCTTGCAAATGTTGCATGCTTGGAATGAACTTTGAGGTTGTATAAGCTGATATTAGGGTGTCATTTATTAATTAGGGTTGATTTTGTCTATTTAATGTTGTTCAAGGGCCAAATTGTCATTTATATTTGGCATTTAGTTTGTTTTTTTTTTTTCTTGTAGGGACTAAAGTAATATTTGCCAACTTGGCTGTATAAATTGTCACCATGATACGCTTTCCTTAATTAGTTTTCACCAGTTGTAAATATATACACTTCCTTATTTAGTTAGAATTTGTATAGTTTTGGTATAAACAGATTTAATGGCTGTAATTTAGGCAGATTTTCTGCTGTAATTCAGGCTTGATTTTAGCCTTGTATATTGCACATTTGTGCCTATATAATGAGAAGAAATCCTCACTAAGAGGACATTGAATCCAAATGACATAAATAAAGTGAAAGTTCACATTTTGAGCAGTTGCCACTCAACCAAAACCCTAAGCTTCATCTCCCATTTTGTGGCGACTTTGGCAACCCTTCACCTCCTAAAACTCCGATCAGCCATCGTCTCTTTCATCTCCATCATCTCCTCATCAATTTGCATCATCGGTCGTGCATCGTTTCATCTTCCATCATCATGACTCTTCATATTCTGATAGCGTTTCGTCTTCTCTAGTGTCAATATATCTTCCCCAACTGCCAACCATCTCTCCCTTGTCATCCTTTAACATTTTTGAGAGTCTTTTCACCTTCCACCACCGCGAGTCCATTTGACATTTCATCTTCCTCGACGTCGATCCATCTTTCTATGGTGTCGATCAGTCATCTTATCCAGTCGAGACATTCCATCTACCACCAATAGTTCGTGTTCAACATGGCCAGTAACTGTTCATCATCTCCAACCTTCGCTAATGTCACCATGAGCGGTTGAGCTCTTGGTTGCCTATTACGACGAAGGCAACATGGCTTCTCTTCACGATATTTCTTGACTAGTTGGATTGAAATCAATTGTTGGACATGTTATTTGTGTTGTGTGTTGTGTTCAGATTCTGTTTGTTTTTGTTTCAGCTTGATTACAATACTTTAACATGATTATGATATATGATCATTTAAATTGTTGGTGTGCATCGAGAACATGTCTTGAAATTGAACTAATTGCACAATGAATGTTGGTTTGAGAATGTTAAATGTTTATTCATGCTTTCAATTGCTTCACTTTGGATTGTAATAAAGTATATTTACATTTAATAGTATTTCTGCTTTGAATTCATTTATTGTGTAATTGATTGGTTGGTTGATCGTTAGCATTGTACCAACTAGTGGTATTTAAATTGTTAGTGTTTTTCAGTCAATTGATGATAGTCTTTAACCCATCGAACACTGATCGAATCAATAGCAAGACAAGATATATTATAGCTAGATTGTTGGAAAACCATTTTATGTGATTTTCCTAGCCTTGTAGAATTAGGAAATCCAAGAGTGCAAAAGAGGAATTGTGAGTGTTAACGTTGAGTCGAGTCGAAACTGAAGGACAACATCTTTAGTATTAGTGTTCTTGTTAGCAATTTATTTTTCTGCTCTAAATTTCTTGTAATTAATTAGTTTACTTAGTTTTTAATTAATCAAATTGCTCAATTTCCCTTTTGTTAGACTCGAACATACATTAGGTTGAGAGTCTTGCTTTCTATGTATTCGACCATTCTTATCGCTAACTACAGTACTTAGGATTAATTTTGTAGCTGTGACGACCAGCTCGA